TTGAAACGAGAAAAAGTGCGAATTTTTTAAGGAGCAGATGGAGTTTTTAGGGCATATTGTAGATGCGCAAGGAATACGCCCATCCCCAAAGAAGGTACAGGCAATGTTGAATATGCCTGAGCCAAAAGAATTTAAAAGAAGTAGAGTCATTTCTAGGAATGGTACAGTATTATGGTAAATTTATTCCAAACCTCTCCACTTTGGCAGCCCCGTTGAATGGACTGAGAAAAAAGGGAGTGCCGTTTCAGTGGGAGGAGGCGCAGAAAGACGCAGTTAAACAGATAAAAAAGCGATTAACAGAAGCGGATATTCTTACACACTATGACCCGCAAATACCAGTAGTTTTGGCAACAGATGCCTCTGAATACGGCTTAGGGGCCGTAGTTTATCATAAAATGCCGGATGGGAAAGAGAAGGTGATAGCATATGCGTCGCGGACGCTAACAAAAGAAGAAAGGAACTACTCACAGATTGAAAAACAGGCTTTGGGCATAGTGTATGGTGTGGAGAAGTTTAATCAATTTTTGTATGGTCGTAAGTTTACCCTGCTAACAGATCATCAACCGTTAGTGAAGATATTTGGACCAAAAACGGGATACCCACCATTGCAGCGAAGCGGCTGCATCGTTGGAGCCTTCGTCTCATGATATATTCTATAGCATACACTACACAGTACCTGCAGTAGTAATGTCCAGCTTGGTAGAGCGGTAGTGAAAAGTCGGGTGCCTTGTGCAGTCACTTTTATGCCTGCCCACGTTGAGCGTAATGCCTGAAGAAGAACAAGGAGAACTTCCAAAAGTTTAAATCGTGCTAGACTTCGGAGAAAATGTTTGGCTTGAATAGCTAGACTTCTGAGAAAACGCACCTTTATGCTTGCAGATATGGACTCGTCACTCACAGAAGCAACGTGACTGTCACAGCTATAGACAAAGCGCATAGTGCTCGCAACTGCTCTGGTCTGGCTGGGTCTGTGACGAGAGTGCGAAGAATTGTCAATGGTTCCTCCAACATCAGAACCAATTTGCTCACCTATATTACCAAAACGATTATTACCCTAATGTCCAGTTCAAATTCATACAGAAGAAAAACTACAATAACTACCTAATTGTAGTGAAGCAAGAGCAAGAAGTACTGCCGAAACAGCTATCTCTTCATCGGTCTTCTTCAGATTCTTCGTTATGAGTTCAATAAGTGTCATTCTCCACTTTGTTACAAAATCCGGGACATACTGAGAGCACATTGCCAGCTGAATATGTCTCAGTGCAGCCATTCGTATTGAAATACTACAACATCCATTTATTTTAATTTCATACACCAACTTAGTGAATTTTTCACGTAGTGCAAACAATTAACAAACTTTTTATGACTGGCGTTCTCTCACGTGTTCGGCCAAGCATCGACAAGTTAGGAGCGTCAATGTCATCCATATCCTCCCCTAAACCAAATCTCCACTGGTTCTGTTCATAAGGGCATTGAGTCTAAACTGAAGGGCAGAAAGCACCTTGTACACTCCTCATATCATCATCGACAGTCATATGCGACGCAACCGACTCTCTTCCCCTTTCGCTATCTTCTCCACCTGAACGGCCACAAAGAACATGCATATGGAAAGAATGTGAATTGGAATAACTTGCATTGAAAATGCTGCAATATCTAAAAATGTTAACTAAAAGAGCTATAAAACCACCAAGACTAGGCTAGTGGTAGCGCATTCTGGAAAGGAATTGAATTGGCACTCGCTGACAAAGCGCGGCATGAGAGAAAGTATTAAACAGAACTGAGAGAAGCAGGTTCCTTCCGGCGAACGTGGCGTGCACGATGTCGCCTCATGGAAGCTCTCCTCAAGCTGTGATAGATTTGTGGTTCTTATATGTGTTCCTATATCATGCAAAAACCGTTTTGAAAAAGCCCTGAACGACCTTCGTGGTAAGGGCACGTGTGAAACGGAATCAAACTACTTCGTTGTTCTCCTGTTCAATATTTTACGCTCATTTTGTATTCAAATCTGACTAATTTATCCTATAACATCACACTTGTATTGATGAGTCAATTTAGCATATAATGCAGTAATTTGGCTACAAACTGGATTTTGTAAAACTATGTGTAGCTAACTAACACAGCAACAAAATTTTGACACCGACATGAAAAGAAATATGCGCCAACATTTACTTTTATTCACAACAGCAACTCTGCGTATTTGGATGTCTAGACAACTCGGATGATACAAGACAGATACTCATACAAGAATAGCGACAAAAAAGGCAAAAGGTTATCGTTCTAGAAGACCATATTGCGGCGACGGGCAAAAGGGCCCCCGCGATGGGGCGCTATTTTCTTTACGGTGCCGCAACCTTCCTGACAGCCATTAGTAATAAAAATAGCAGTTTTTCGGCAAAAACTTTTTTCTTGCCCTCAGCGAATATTTTCGCCATCTAGCATGCTATGGACACTCATTTCTAGCCATTGCGTTCATCGAGGTGCTATTAGTATTGTCTGCGACTACAGAGATCCCAGTCAACTCAAGAAATCTGAACTTTACAACCAGTATACATAGGGCCTACCATAATGAAGTTGAACGGAAATAAATGAACATAAGCTGGAGAGAGTGTGGAAGATTACTCTCATGCACAAGTTGGAAAAGGAAAAAAAATGCAGGATTCTGAGGTAGTTGACCAAGAAAAAAATTCAAGGCCGAAAACTACTTGTTCGAAGTTTTTTGCCGCCATAAAATGCTCCTATTGGAAACTAACCACATATCCTATATCACGCAACCTATCGAACCGAGCCATGGTCACCGTACATATACAAACAATACGATTTGAAAGAGATGATAAAACCAATCCAGACTAATCGCGATCTATTCATGAAAGGAAAAAAAGACTTTCTTATCACAAGCGATAGATATCAGTTCAAACCAGGTTAATAGGTGTAAGTGCAAAATTACTAGAGAGGATGAATAGGACGGAGCTAGAAGTTAACCAGTTACCGCAGCCATCTTCGCATCTAGAAAACGACATTACGTTTATCCCTCTGCTTTCCACGAATTTGATTTCTATACTTGGATGCTGCGTCATGTGCGGCCATCTGAAAAAAAAAACAATTTTTTAGTGAAAACAAGTGCAAATTTTACAGGTAAAACTATTAGGTTTGAAAAAATCATGACCCCGCTAGGGCGCGAGGTCAACACTGGGAAAAAGAAGAGATTGAAGTTTGATGCTCCCACCTTTGCAAACTTGTTAATTTTCTCGTGTGGGTTCACTTCCTGAACAGGTCCTAAATCAAAGAGCTCACGCAACAACTCGTTGCTCTGCAACTGCCGTACCATCCCACCATGGAGAAGCTAAAATTATCAATGTTACAAATGCCACTATCAGACACCCCTTCAATATACCTCACAACAGATGTCGTATAGTAATTTAGAGGCACAAGAATCCAGCACCAACGATTCGCGGTTGAACTTGATCGTTATCGATGGCGTATCTTTGTCAACGATGCTCGAATATATTTGCCTAAAAGCAGAATTTTGGAAGGACTTCTACTGAGGTGCAAAACCTTTCTGATGAGCGATGTGATTACCTAAAAGTGAACCGTTGAGCACGTTTGTCTTTTTTTGCTTTCCCCTTTGATCCGTCACTGCAAAGAGCATGCAACAACTAAAAATAAAGAGAATGATTATTTCGCGTGTCAAAAACCCAATCCTAAGTATCAGCGGACGAACCTCAACGATTTGCTGGTGGTTTGGCAGACGGAATCCTGGACGAGTTTCTGCCCCAAGCTCATAAAGAAAAGCTAGTGCTTCTCCGGTAGCGATACGAATGTCGAGTTGATCGGCTTCCAGAAAGGCGGTTAGTTTTGCGAACTCACCAAAAGCAGAATTGAGCGTCGACGCATCAGTGTCCTAAAAAACAGGGATAAAACTGTCTTCTGGATTATAGGTAGCAGTGAATATCAGAAGAGCACAGAAAAAGTGATAGAGTACTGTGCGTGATTATTTACTTACTTCCCAATACATAGCAGAACACATCATTACGGTATGTTACTCTACAGACTTGAGGAGGAACAGCGTAGGGACCGATGCCGTTCCTCCAAAGATGTAGAGTTTCGTTCCCAATATAAACCTAATGAATTTAAAAATAATAAAACATGTGTTTCCGTTTCCTTTCAAAAAAAGTGAGTGTTCAAGTCTATTGAAGCCGCCGACTGTTCGAGGCAAGGTGAAGCGCTCATGGGTTCTCAAAAATCGTGCCATTTTTAATAATTTGGTTTTTCTCGTGAACTAGACATCTCATCTGCCTAGGAAACACTACACAGTACCTGCAGTAGTAATGTCCAGCTTGGTAGAGCGGTAGTGAAAAGTCGGGTGCCTTGTGCAGTCACTTTTATGCCTGCCCACGTTGAGCGTAATGCCTGAAGAAGAACAAGGAGAACTTCCAAAAGTTTAAATCGTGCTAGACTTCGGAGAAAATGTTTGGCTTGAATAGCTAGACTTCTGAGAAAACGCACCTTTATGCTTGCAGATATGGACTCGTCACTCACAGAAGCAACGTGACTGGTCACAGCTATAGACAAAGCGCATAGTGCTCGCAACTGCTCTGGTCTGGCTGGGTCTGTGACGAGAGTGCGAAGAATTGTCAGCGGTTCCTCCACATCAGAACCAATTTGCTCACCTATATTACCAAAACGATTATTACCCTAATGTCCAGTTCAAATTCATACAGAAGAAAAACTACAATAACTACCTAATTGTAGTGAAGCAAGAGCAAGAAGTACTGCCGAAACAGCTATCTCTTCATCGGTCTTCTTCAGATTCTTCGTTATGAGTTCAATAAGTGTCATTCTCCACTTTGTTACAAAATCCGGGACATACTGAGAGCACATTGCCAGCTGAATATGTCTCAGTGCAGCCATTCGTATTGAAATACTACAACATCCATTTATTTTAATTTCATACACCAACTTAGTGAATTTTTCACGTAGTGCAAACAATTAACAAACTTTTTATGACTGGCGTTCTCCACGTGTTCGGCCAGAGCATCGAGCAAGTTAGGAGCGTCAATGTCATCCATATCCTCCCCTAAACCAAATCTCCACTGGTTCTGTTCATAAGGGCATTGAGTCTAAACTGAAGGGCAGAAAGCACCTTGTACACTCCTCATATCATCATCGACAGTCATATGCGACGCAACCGACTCTTCACTTTCGCTATCTTCTCCACCTGAACGGCCACAAAGAACATGCATATGGAAAGAATGTGAATTGGAATAACTTGCATTGAAAAATGGTGCAATATCTAAAAATGTTTAACTGAAAAGAGCTACTAAAACACTCAAGACTTTTAGGCTAGGTGGGTGAGCGGCATTCTGAAAGAATTTGATTGGCAGCTCGCTGACAAAATTCAGAAAAAATTCATACAATGTCCATAATTTGCCTTCACAATAGCAACAAATCCAGCATCTTCTCCCAAATCAGAATTACTCAGCTTCAAGCTTTTCCTCTACTTTCCTTTACCTCAGACTGTTACGATGCTCACACCTGCTGTAGTCCATGCAACTCGATAAGCATGAGCAACACCATCGTACCCCATCCAATTCACCTCATACTTGGAATCAAAAGCATGCCGGAAAGCAATATTGGAAAACGACGGGCTGCACACATTATATGCAACAACGTGTGCAGCTCTTCTTTATGTTTTGAATTTCGTGAAACTCAAACCTCTTCCCCTGCGTGAGGGTCCTGAATATGTCTCTTTTTCTTTATTCTTGTTTCGCCCTTTCCCCATTCTGCTCGAACTTTGGATGACGAATTTCTGAAACACATGTGTGAAGGAAGTACCCACAATTCTTAACGGAACACCTCGAAACGGACAATAAAGCGGTCTGACATGGCATTAATCATGTACGCATAGCCTAATAGTGTGGGATTTCACTCAGCTCGATAAAAAATGTAAGGTGAATGTAAGTAAACCACCCACCCTGTGACCAACACTTCACGTCTTGTCACACGATGGGTAATTTACCCGCCCCCGGAGTCCTCTTTCCCCAATGAGCTAAGGTTCAGGCACGCTGGAAAGATGACAGCGCCTACTTCAACGCGGATGTCATATTCGTAATAAGGGACTAACCAAAATAGACTACAAGATTTGTTGCAACAGAATTTTGAGGGAACAATGTGTGACAAAAAGGCGCAAGTCACTCAGCGACCAATGAAATATCATGTCAAATCAGGGCAGTCGAACTAGCCTATATAGACAACATTTTAGCGAATACATAAATTTTGCAGATTTATGAAGCTGTGTTGTGCGCCGCTATCTAGGCGGCCGTGTTAGGCCGACGTCATACTTTGCGAATCGAGCGAATCGCTAGCGAATCGCTCGAGTCGAGCGAATCGCTAGCGAATCGCTCGAATCGCTAGCGAATCGAGCGAATCGCTAGCGAATCGCTCGAGTCGAGCGAATCGCTAGCGAATCGAACGATGCACCAGCGATTCGAACTAGGTGCCAGCGAATCGAACTAGGTACCAGCGAATCTTGCATAAAGCTTGAAACTAGGGTGTTAGGCACAGCAAAATTTCGGCAATGCTATGCAGTTTTGAGGGGGTTATTGGATCAGCAGATTCGATATTGCTGCGGCAATGCTATCTCACGAAGAGCAGCAGTATCGCCTTAAAACTTATCCAATACGAGTCATAGCGGTTATCATTACGAATATAACTTCATTTTTGGAGTCGTTACCATCACAATTCGATGGAAAAAGCTGTTTCGCAAATCCGCAGCGGCGTCACGTCACGTGGTGGCTTTTTACTACTTGCTCCTTCTCCCGCTAGGGTCGTAATAATGTAGTATTGTAAAGGACTACACATGAACTGGTCTAATGGTCTGTCTAAATTTTGATAAAAAGCGCTTTTTCAACCATGACTAATAATAAGATCGTGTATAGGGGTTATAGCCGCCTTCGGGGTTCTACAGAAGTTGGTCGGGTCTGTAGATAGTTGCATGTGTGCTCAAGAACTGGATGATGAAGGAAAATGAATAGTACTTTGGGCTCGTTCTTGGCTGCCTGCCCAATCTGTTAGGGAAGACTTCGTGTAGGGTATCAACAAGAGCTGAAATAGATGAATCATTAGAGCTTAGCCTTAGTAATGCAAACTATTTAGATGTTAGCGAGTGATTTGTAAAAATTCGTATTGTTTGAGGTTGTCCGCTTTACAGCAGTGTTCTTAGCTTGTACTTTTGTATTAGTATTAGTATTGATGAAATAACATGATGCGTGAGGCCTTGTTGAGAACATAGAAAGACCCCAAGAAAAAAAAGGTCGGTAAGACGCTGTAAAGGACTAGGATATGTGCCAACACGTCAGCCTTTTCGTCTGATCCACCCAATCGCTAGCCCAGCAGGTGTCTTGGTTTGCATTGGTGCATATGCGATTCTTGATATGCATTTCTTGCTGGAAGGAACCAGCAATAAATGCCGGCAAAGCAAACTATTTCGGACAGCTCGTCTGGCCACACCTCTCCTTCGCCAGCGAATCGCTCATTTGCAAAGACATCGGCCTGAAGTGGAAGAGGGGGAGTCTTCGTTTGAGGGCTTCATCGGCGATTTTCTTTGTTTCTTTTCTCATTTGCAGTAAACTCGGCATCCGCATTTTCATTATCGACCGCTTTTACCTCGCCAAATCGATCTGGAGGTGTTGCTTTGAGCACCAATTTTCGACAGTCTAATATTCGAATTCTTTTTGTGTGAGATATTATGAAAAACAAGTAGTATCTGCGGCCAATAGCATGAACTGTAACTTAAGTGCTTTCGATTGCGCTCATGTTCAAGCTACAGTGTGCTTCGGACTCGGTCGACCTATAAAATGTGTTGAAAGCGTTTGGCCAAAACGTAGAGTTAGTGTGGTGTTGCTTCGTATATAGCGATTTACCCGTGATGTAGTCTTGATAGCGGAACTTGGTTCTTAAAAAAGTCAAATATGAGATGTGGCATGGTGTATGTTTGTCATAACACAGTCAAACAAAGCTTTTGTGGGAGGCAGTTGATGGAATGTCATTTGTTGGTGAAGCATCGCTCCAGTTCCTAACGTGCTTGCATTATGCTGTCAAAGCATTCAACTCCGTGAAGTGACCTCGCCCAATCCCTCTCCCCTCGCTGGTGCGACTAGTTGGGAGCGTACGTAGCAACATTCAATGGTAATAAGCATAAGACTCATGTGAAGCTTTCAAGAATTTGACGTACCCCATAAATGATTATAGTTGCGATCAGTCCCCACAATAGCTGTAAAAGTTTGAACTGTGTGAAATGGACGGTTTCCATTCAGAGGGGATGTCAGAAGGAAAACTGAGAATGTTCATGGAAGGTCTCATTAATGCAAACACAGAGAGAACATTGTAAGTTTTAAGCGTTGAACGAGTTGGCACTCGAGCGAAAAAAAAGACGGTAGGCTAATTTGGGCATTTTTCGCTAGGAAAGGACGGTTTGCTCATGATACGCAGTGGAGTTTCTGAACTACATGATAGGAACCTGAACTTGGCCGTCAAGTTTCTATTTTTTGGCGCAGATACTTGAAGGCAAACATTTCCGAGATGCCCCTCATCATATGAAAAAGTCCTTATCAGTGAGCTTTCCTGTATCCTCTATCAATTAAGATCAATCAAAGACGCCGATGTACAAAGATTACTGCCGCGGCACTGTAGTCCATTTGAATTTGAATGAAGCCCAACGGTGTTAGATATTGACTGACATGATCGAATAATTTAATTACTCCTTGTATAAACCAGTCAACGAGTACCTATAGTGGACGAAATAGGGGAGTAAAACGCGAAATTCGGAGGTTGTGTGGCCTCACCAAAGGCTCTTTGTCCGGCGGCAACCACACACTCACTCAAAACCTAGCCTAACACCCTAGTTTCAAGCTTTATGCAAGATTCGCTGGTACCTAGTTCGATTCGCTGGTACCCAGTTCGAATCGCTGGTGCATCGTTCGATTCGCTAGCGATTCGCTCGACTCGAGCGATTCGCTAGCGATTCGCTCGATTCGCTAGCGATTCGAGCGATTCGCTAGCGATTCGCTCGACTCGAGCGATTCGCTAGCGATTCGCTCGATTCGCAAAGTATGACGTCGGCCTAGGTTGGTGTCAAAGACCACGATCCGCCCCGCGATTTTTGCGAATCGCGCAAGATGCAAAAATCTCAAGCGCCCCTTTTTGAACATTTGAAATACTGAATATGAAACAAGTAGAATGAGGAAAAGTCGACCATAATCAGTCATTCAACTATAACCATCGAGCATGGCGGCGCGGTTGAAGAGCAACTCGCAGTATTATACGTAGCCTTATACTGGTATCAGAGTCTGTGATCCGTCGCGTGAGGATCGCGGGCTCTGACACCAGCCTGTTCTGTAGCAAACCTTTCGCAGCTTTAAAAAATAACAGACTATACATGCGTCAGTAGAGAAAAAAGTTGTTGGGTGGAAATCAATCCAACATCACAGTTCCCATGTGGAGCCAGGGGGCCAGGGCTACGAAAAATGTATGTTCTGGCAGCTCACCATAAGAAATGATTGGTTTGCGACGCGCGGGGGATTCATCACTATGATGCTGTAAAGAGGACTGCCGTTTCAGCATAAGATCAATTAGGCTTGACGTGAATTCCAGAGTACAGAACCTTATCGGTTAGCCCACACTTTATGGGCTCTAGTAAATATCTGTGGGAACTCTAATAAGAACTGCAGATGGATCGCGCAAAATATAAAATTCAAGATGTGCAACTGGAGCGGCTGCCTACTTTAGGCATTGTTCACAGTTTTCGAATCATCCGAATATTCGAATTCGCGAAAAGAATTTTATACGTATCGACCAGGAGAATTTCCGCACGCGCGAACGCGGATGCGAAAAGGTTTAGATGCGTATCGACGTAGTAAACCACGCCCTATTAGCGTTGCTAGAGGATTTTCGCACCGCCGTTTCGATGCTGCGATCTCCGATTGACTGATCGATAGACACTCATTCCTTTCAAAGGATTCGCAGATTCGAATGCGCGATTCGAGCTCCTCCCATTTTGTGGATCGATACGCATTTCATTCATTTCGCAGATCCGCAGATTCGTTCGTTTCGAGCGTTTTTCGGCTATGGCGCAAGGTGTGAACAGTGCCTTAGGCCGATGTCAGACTTTGCGAATCGCGCGATTCGCTAGCGTCTGCGGTCGCGTCGCGGCCAGTGAATCACTCAATTGGCTGGTACCGCAACGCGACCGCGGACGCTAGCGAATCGCGTCGCGCGATTCGCAAAGTCTGACATCGGCCTTACGCACCCTACCGGCTGCAGCTTCAGACGTTGCCGATGCTACGATGGAAAATGCAAGTGGTCACATTTAAAAAAAAACCATTGTAAGTAATAGACATCCTACGTCATTTGGGTCCAACTACTCTGTATTTGGAGAGCAGCCTTCTAGAAAATGTCCTTGGCAAACCTCAATCAAAAAGCACGAACCAAAACTAGATGAGCGGATGGGTGCAAATCAAACATTAGAAAAAAATCAGCAAGTTCAGCGAATGAATAACTGCAAATAAGAGGAGGATCTTTACTGGCAAGAATCAACGAATTTTATTTTATGTATTTCTCAATGCGACCAATTAAAGCAAGTTTCCGCTGATGGCGATCGGTATCATACATGCAAACTGCAATTATTATTTAAAAAGAACAGGCACAAGGTTTCTCGGGGAAAGACATAGCTAGCACTTTGAGAGAAATGAACTTTGTTCCAGATCGACAATAGTACAGCAACAT